ACCAGAACATTGAATATGAGTACCAAAACCCCAGGAGAAACTTCAGGTAATTTGTACTTATAAGACAAAGCAGTGTCTCTCTAGACAATCTTAGAATATGACAATATATTGAAAATAAGTAAAACAAAGAACTAAGTCTAGGATCAAATTCATTTATTTTTAGAATATGTGATCAAAAAACATATATGTAAATGTGGCCTAGGCTGTGGACTCAATCCTGTAGTCCTAGTCCTTTGAGAAGTGGAGATAGGAGGATAGCTTGAGGCCAGCAGTTCAAGAACAGCCTGGGCAGCATAACAAGACCACAAGTCAACAACAGCAAAAAATGAGCTGGGCATTGTGGTCTGTAGTCCCAGCTACTCAGGAGACTGAGGCAGGAGGTTCACTTGAGCCAGTTAAGGCTGCAGTAAGCTATGATGATATCACTGCACTCCAGCGTGGGCAACAGGACTAGACCCTGAAACAAAAGAAAAATGACACAGAGTATTTAATATTTGTAAAATAGTTTACTTGGGAAGAGTATTAAGAAGTCCCATATAAACATTTTTTAAAATAATAGTTATGGCTGGGACACCTTGTAGAATATGTTGTCCAATCACCTTCAAACAATTCAGCCAGGGCCGAAAGCCTACACTTTGACGGACAGTGTTAAAAATGCAAGTGCAGTACTTGTTGATGAATATAAAATTACTTATAAACAAACCCTTTGTAATGTGCTTCTCACTTTTGACAGGAGTCTCATAGAAGAGAAAGTCAATGAAATTAAAGAAAACAGTCATTGTGGAGAAACTTTTACCCAGGTTCCAGATGACAGGCTGAACTTCCAGGAGAAGAAAGCTTCTCCTGAAGTAAAATCATGTGACAGCTTTGTGTGTGGTGAAGTTGGCATAGGTAACTCATCTTTTAATATGAACATCAGAGGTGACATTGGACACAAGGCATATGAGTATCAGGAATATGGACCGAAGCCATGTAAGTGTCAGCAACCTAAAAAAGCCTTCAGATATCGCCCCTCCTTTAGAGCACAAGAAAGGGATCACACTGGAGAGAAACCCTATGTTTGTAAAGAATGTGGAAAAACCTTTGTTTTCTATTCAAGCATTCAAAGACACATGGTAATACACAAAGGAGATGGACCTTATAAATGTAAGTTTTGTGGGAAAGCCTTCCATTGTCTCAGATTATATCTTATCCATGAAAGAACTCACACTGGAGAGAAACCATATGAATGTAAACAATGTGGTAAATCCTTCAGTTATTCTGCTGCCCTTCAAATACATAAAAGAACTCACACTGGAGAAAAGCCTTATGAATATCAGGAATGTGGGAAAGCATTTCATAGTCCCAGATCCTATCGTAGACATGAAAGGAGTCACACGGGAGAGAAGCCTTATCAGTGTAAGGAATGTGGGAAAGCGTTCACGTGTCCCCGTTACGTTCGTATACATGAAAGGATCCACTCTAGGAAAAAATTTTATGAATGTAAGCAGTGTGGGAAAGCATTATCCTCTCTTACAAGTTTTCAAACACACATAAGAATGCACTCTGGAGAAAGACCTTATGAATGTAAGATATGTGGGAAAGGCTTTTGTTCTGCAAATTCATTTCAAAGACATGAAAAAATTCACAGTGGA